GGATTCTAGCTGGTGAGGGCAGGCCCTGCCTGTGTGCTTTGGCCAGCAAGAGTCCTTGTCTGGCAGGCTGTGCCCACCCCTCCCCTGGGAAGGCCCTGCCTGCTATGTAAAGACTCAGCACTGCCTTCCCATCCAAGCCTAGGGCACAGTACCTCAGCATGGAGGTGGTACCATAACTTTGAGCTACCTGCCTATTTCCACCTCAGTTTCCCTGGCCAAAGGGCAGGATAGTTATATAGATTTCAGAAGCCAAGAGTGCAGTCTAAGGAGAGCCTAAGCATGTACTCTGTGGGTAGCTTTTGCCCTGCCTGGACCATAGGGTCTGTGTGTGGTTGTTTTTTTTTTTTTTTTTTTTTTTTTTTTTTTTTTTTTTTTTTTTTTTTTTTTTTTTTTTTTTTTTTTTTGTGGAACCAGGGATTGAACTCAGGCCCTTGCGCTTGCCAGGGAAGCGCTTATTCCATTGAGCCATCTCCCTGGCCCCTGGACCATAGGGTCTGAGTGTCCAATGTCTTAAATGGGGGACACCTGCATGCCATTCTGACTGTGGGATCACCCCAGGATCAGCGACCCAGAAGGAAAGGGGCACAGATGCCTGCATGTTTCCTGCCAGTCTGGGGGTCATGTGCTCTGTGCATAGCTCCACAGGCCCAGACTGGCCCCGTGACTGGGCATGACCCACTCAGGCGCCAGCTGCCCCTGGGTAGCTGCTGGGAGAGCCGGATTTCAGGGCTAATTACTAGACTGTCAGTTGCACAGAGCTCACACTGGAGATACGGGGCTCCCAGGTGCCTTGGAAACACCAGGGCTTTTCCTTGTTCGCCATGGTCCCTGCATTGGCAGCTGGCAAGTATCCAGATATGCCAACCCTTGAGGGACATGTCTAGGCTTAGAATGGGGTATAAAATGGTGGGCACTCGAGGAATGCAGGGGATCAGCAGACAACTCAAAGGGTGAAGGAGCCAAAAGCACCCCCACACACCAGACCCCTCTGGTCATTATCTCAGTTCATACTCAGGATTCAGGTCAGCTGACTGGGTCCTGAAGGATACCACCAACCTCATCGGTGGTTCTGGCTGATCCTCTCACCAAGGGTGGGTCACACTGAAGCCCTGCTCCAGGAAAGGGAAGCACCTGGCCTTCACTTTGGCTTCCCTCTTTCTTTCCTTATTTTTGCTAGAGAAGAAAGAGCCAGGCCTGAGCTGCCCCACAGTTGAGGTGGGGTGGGGGTGAAGGCCACACGGCTGACACTGTGTCTGCCTTAATCCTCTCCAATACCCATGTGGGTCTGGGACAAGGCCCTGCTCTACACAGAAGTGAAAAATATCAGATCACAGGTTCCCAGACACACAGCAGCCAGAAAGTGCCCCTACCTGGCCCCACGCTCATCTGAGAGGAGGGACAGTCAGGGACGGGAGACCTGGCTCTAGGAAGCCCAGGCAAGCTCATCACCATCTCTTGGGTTCACAACTGGCAGAGATAAGAGTTCTGTGACTGCACTGGGAGCCCTGGGGTGTGACAGTTAAGTCCCAGTGGCTGTCCCAGCAGGCAGAGTGCCATCCTCCAACAGGAAGAGGTGGCAGACACCTGTTAGGAACCCTGGTTTTCAAGTCAGGTCCCTGACACCCACAGTTTGGACAGGTGACCCCAGGATGTGTAGGGCCAACTCTGATCCTTCCACCCAAGAGCTTTTCTCTAGAGGGATAGGAGCTAAAGAAGCTGCCCTGGACTGGCCTATACACATGTTCCAGGGAGGGACTCCATGGACCATGGCACACAGCACAGCGGGGCCTAGGAAAGTTAGAATGCCTTTTCAAACCCTGGCCCCACTAGAACCTCCACTCCAGTCTGTGTGTCTTCTGTAGATAAAATCTGGCATCATTTAAAGTACATGTAATTGCTATCATGCTCTCATTAAGCAATAAATAACCCTCTTAAGCTACTCACTTGTCTTTAGGATGATGGGTGAAAAAACAACTAAGGCACTCAAGGCACACTGAAAGAAGGACCTTAGCCCTGATTTCCGGTAGCAGACCCCAGGAACTGATTTTCCCCACCTTCCCCATCTTTTTTTTTCTGGCACCAGGGATCGAACTCAGAACCTTATGCTTGCCAGGCAAGCACTTATTCCACTGAGCTATCTCCCTGACCCACAAAACAAGGTTTTTTGTTTTTGTTTTCCAGTACTGGGGATTGAACTCAGGACCTCGTGCTTGCCAGGCAAGCGCCTATTCTACTGAGCTATCTCCCTGGCCCCACATTCCCAGTCTGCAGCACCATCCTATGACCTGAGCCAGGCCAGCCAAGCTGTTTCACAAGATTATCTTTAGCAAACAGAAAGGTGTAGAGGGACAGGCCCTTGGGGCTGACAAGATCCGGTAGAGCTGAGGCTCACAGTATGGCCTCCTATGTGGCATGGAACTTTCCTGGAAGCCAGGCGGCTGGTCAGTGTGTGGCCTGGGGGCCATCATGCAGCATCTTTGGAGGAGCAGCTTTAAGGAAGTGTGGGGTGCAGGCTGGCCTTTCCTTTCTAAGGAGAAATTCTAGGATCCACTTCATATTTGATCATGAAGATACACTGAAATTCTTCTCTCCTTAGCAGCAGTGGCCCCATGCTCAAGGCAGTGTCCCCTGATAGATGCCGGAAACTTTCCTGATGCCCTGCATAGCTGTCCTTGGATCAGGGCTTGAGCTGCCCCTCTGCCTATGAGACTGCACATGCTTGAAGCTTTTCAGATGCACTTCCAGGGCAGAAGCTGGGTCTACCCTTCCTGGACTCCACGGGTGGTATCAGAGCACCTTTGGGAGTGCCCAGTAGTCCTTCCTCACTGGCTGGGCCCAGGTCCCAGTCTGGGGGCCGACACTGGAAGGTAACCTCTCTCACATGGCCCAGGCAGGTGCTAACCACTTCTGTACACAGACTGTCCCTTTCTGTCACTGCAGATCTTTGTTCCAGCAGAAAAGGTGGTAACAGGCACATGTGAACAGAGGGCTAACAGGCATTGGCAAAAGTGGCCTTTTTGCATGGAAAAGGATGCTGACTGACTACATCTGCACCCTGCAAGGAGTTTCCATCTGGGACTTACTCTGGGGCTTCAACTATGGGGTCCCCAAGCACTGTTTAAAAACTACTTATGAGACATGTAAAAGCCTTATATCATCAGAAAAGATGATATGAATGTTTGGCCTGAACAGCTTCTTTGGTAGATACTGTGGCTACAGTTTTCCCCAAACTGGACCCCTAATGGTAAGCACACCTATCAGAGCCCTAAGCACAGCTTCCCCAGTGCTGAAAAAATGGCAGCTGTCTCTGCATACAGAGGTGGAAACACTGCCTCAGGCTTGAAAACAAGATGGAGAACAGGCGGTATGCAAGGTACCCAGAGATCCAACTGACATCCTAAAGAGCAACTGGGTATTTGTACAGTGAAAGCTCTAGAAGCTGCATTTTAGCCAAGGAGTCTCAGCTCAGGGGTGGGGAAGAGGATGAGAAAGTAGATCCCATGGCTGGTTAGATGCATGGCTGTATGGACCATACAGTCATATGCCAGTTGGCTTTTCAATAGAAAGAACACTAGAGGACACCTGTCCTCACTGCCTGTCCCCAGACAAAGCAGTACTTCCCAAGTGTTGCCAGTGACTTTAAGCTTAGCAACCCAGCTTTCAGGGCCCATTTCACAGGCGAGAGGCAGCCCTCTAAAGACGTCCACCCACAGGCCTACCCATTCAACACCAACTGAAGGATAGAAAAATCAACAATCAAAATTCCCTAAAAACAAAACAAGCAAAGCAACCTCCATCAGAGCCCTGTCACCCCACACAACTGTTCTCTACAATGGACAGGCCTCTGGGCTCATGCCCTGGAGCAGACCTGCCACAGCCACAGCCCTGCCTAGAAGTGGTCAAGCGGAGTTTCTGGGCTCCCAGCCCCAAAATGTGAAGACCCCCTTCTCATTAGGTACAGGTCTCACTAGGTCTCAGGAAGGCTTCTGACTTGGTGGAGTGCTGCTGGCTGTGGTCCCACAGCTATGCTCTGGTCTTAGGATGCAGGCTGCCTGCCTGTACTAGGCTACACCACCCAGAGTGCACAGCAGTAGCAGGAGCCACTCTGAGTACTAACACACTGCTTGTAACTCAAGCCCAAGTGTAACTCTGTCATTGTGAACACTACCAAGATGCAGGCAGGGTCTTAAATCAGGTGGGAGCTTTAATGCAAACAAATTAAAAAAAAAAAAAAGTAAATCTAAGTCTTGGATGGCCAGGGTCTCTGGTGTGAATTTTGAAAGCAGGACTTGTCCAAGCCTGTCCAGAAATGACTTTTTAACCCTCAAATCATGCAAGAAAATTGTTCTGGCGGTTTTGTTTATGGAGAGCAAGAGCCCTCTCTGGCCAACTAACACTGCGCCCATCAACCTGAGGGCTCTGCCAACAGCTGCCCTTGCTGCCAGGGAAAGGGAATGCAATCCTGCTGCTAAGTGAGAATCCCCCCCCCCACACACACACATAATTTTATTACGAGTATTTTCTTATGAGTCAGCCTGTCCAAGTCCTGATAGGCTGATCTGGAGAACAGCAATGAATGATTTTTTTTTTTTTTTTTTAACTGCAATATCTTAACAACCAATCACAACTGCAGCGGAAACAGGAAACAGTTTTTAGTCATTCCACGTGGGCCCTTGCAAGACACACTGAGTATTGCTCAGCTACATTACCTGAGGATGGCACTAAGTCTTAAGGGATCTGATGCGGTGGGGAAGCAGACCACTCACTGAGGTCTCAACCCAGACCCCAGCCACTCACTGAGGTCTTCCCAGGAGTGGGGAGGAGGGAGGCGGAGGGGGGGAAGTCAGGGGTGGATGAAATGAATGAAATGCCAGGGGTTCTGGCATCGGAGACCTCAGCCTCCTTTGGTCGGGGGAGGCGGGGTTGCAGGGATGCTGGGCGTTGGGACCTGGGACCCAGGACTACCGCTGCCCTTCTTTCCCCGCTGGTCCCCTACTCACGCACGCAGAGGCAGGCCACGAGCTTGGCGGCCTCCTCGGGCACCGGGCAGGTGGGGAAGAGCGGCTTGAGCAGATAGGTGGCAAAGACCAGAGCCACGATGTACTGCGAGGAGGGCCGGATGATGAGCAACTCGATCCAGAGCTTGAGGAAGGCAGGCAGCGAGCCATACACCTCCAGCATGTAGGCGTAGTCGCCGCCCGACTTGGTGATGGTAGTTCCCAGCTCGGCATAGCAAAGCGCGCCCACGATGGAGAAGACCCCGCACACGGCCCACACTACCAGCGCCAGTCCGGGCGAGCCCGCCTCCTTGAGCACGCCCGTGGGGGTCACAAAGATGCCTGAGCCGATTATGGTACCCACGATGATGGCCACACCGTTCAGCAGGGTGATGTTACGCTGCAGGGTCACGCCCTCGCCCTCCCCGGCGTTGTCCGCGCGCTGCGCAGCCAACATCTTCTCCCGTGCCTGCTGCTCCTCCTCCTCGGCCACCGGCGGCGGCGGGGCCGCCACTGAGCGCCGCTTTGCGCCCGCCATGCTCGCGGGCGGCCGGGCCTGAACGCCGCGCACCCCGGCGAGACAGACACCCCTAGGCCCACCACTTAGCTGCGCTCTTGGCGGCGGCCTGCCGGGCTTTTATAGTCACGCCGATGGCCCCGCCCACCTCCCGCCCCGTTTCGGGCCGCGAGACCCCGCCCGCCGCCGCCATTGGCCTCAGAGGATTGGCCCCGCCTCGCCGAGCCCCCGGCCCCGCCCTGGGCCCCTGGGCCTCCCGGCCCGCTGCGAGCACGTGGAGCTTCCGGAGTCTGCTCTCCGCTTCGAGTAGCCCCAGCGCATCTTCCTTACACTCCAGAGAGCCCAGAGGCTGGCCCCATCGGGCCGAGTGGACTGGGTACAGCCACCCCTGCCAGTCTACTTGCTCTGAACACCTGGGAGATGAGAACAGCTAGGGGCCGGTTATCCTGGCCAGCGCACTATGTCGGGGGTGGTGGTTTGCCAGTCCAGAGAGCAGGGAAACAGCGGCCTGGACTCAGAGACGCCCATTTCAGGCCGAGGGAAAACTTGCCAAAGACCTGCAAGGTGGGGCACAGAGCTCTGAGAAGCACAAACAGGCTTTGGGGAAGAGGAGTTGGATAAGCCTAGTTAGGTCAACAGAATAGATGCTCTGGGGAACAGCCAGAGTAAGGTCACCCGAGTCCAGCTAGGGAACTCGGAGGCAGCCTGCAGGATGAAGGGCTTTAGGCTGTCATTCTTGGAATACACCAGGATCTTGAGCAAGAAGAGCTTCAGGTAACACGGTCAGAAGTCAGAAGAGGGACTGCCAGCTGTTGTGATCACCTTGGGCCTGGACACTTGAGGGCCAAGGGTCGGAGGGCATGTTCCTTGTTCTCTGCCTTGCTTGGTGTCTGCTTTAGTGGGTCCCAGGGATGGCTGTGAGGCCTGGGTTACAGGGGACAGTGTGAGACAGCTGAGCCCGGTGGCCACAGCAAGGCAAGCTGCAGAGTGAGTGGGGAGTCCAGGAAAAGGGTGGTGAGGAGGGCAGGCATGCAATCATCCTCCCAACTGTCCTGCAGCCCACAATGCCTGCTACAATGTACCCAGGCTGTGCTGTGGGCTCATTCAGCAGACAGTTGGGACACAGGGTCCACTCTGGCCCCCAGTGCACCAGCCACTCATCTACACTGATAAAGCACTGGAATTCCCTGTAGCCTGCACTGCAGAGGAGAGCTCTACTTGCAACTCTGCCTTTTAGCTTAGGAAGATAGAAAAACTTAGCAACAAAGACAACCAAGGTGACAGAGATGCTCTCCCACTCTGGCTCTTTATGCTATACTTTCTGAAGGCAGAAGACCCTGGCTGAGACCCTAGAGTGAGCTTCTCATTTAATAGGGCAGGTTCTTAAAGCCATTTTATAAGTGGGTAAACTGAGGCTTACAGTCCTATGACTTGTCAGGCCAGCAGATGGGCTGAAACCCCATCTGTTTGGCTCAAATCCACAGGGTCTATTTGAGCCAACTGCCACTTTTACCTGTGGTTTAGTCATACCACTGCCCAGCAACCTGGACATGTATTTTGGTTTCACCATAGGCCGCAATTTGGCAAAGCTCCACTGACTCATGCCTCACACTTCAGTTACCTGCTAAGCGCAAAAGCCAGTGCCTTAGGAGCTGTGACAGGAGCAGCAGAGAGGTGACCCTCAATGGTATGGAGAGGGGCACCAGGGCAGCCCCAGTGAGCCAAGGGCCTTATGGAAGTCCGAGCAAGCAGGCTATCTGGAGCCAGTGAGGGCCAGATGGGCTTCCTGGGGCGGAACTGAGCAGCCAGGGGAGCTGGAAGTAAGAGAGTGGCAGAGGGAGTTGATTACTTACCCAGGGATGGGAAAGGTACCTGTTCAGGAAGGGGCTACCCTGAGAGCCGCCAACTGTCACTCACCTCTGATTTTCACCACTCTTCACAGGGTTAGTTCTAGGTTTCTTACAGCACATCTGCTTTGATATATGTACAGATGTGATTTTTTTTTGCCTTTTATTTATTTATTTGGTATAGGGTCTTGCTACACAGCTCAGACTTGTAGTGATCCTACTGTCTCAGCCTCCCCAGAACTGTTATTACAGGTGTGCACCACTATGCCTGGTCTTAGTGGCCAGCCCAGCATGGCATGCAGTACCAGAGATCGAACCAGGTCCTTACACTTGCCAGGCAGGCACTTAGACCACCCAGCTTTCTCTCCAGCCTGCAGATGTGATCAAAATGTATACATGGTGAACATTCTCTTACTTCATGAGTTTTTTTTTTTTTTTTTTTTTTTTTTTTTTTGGAGATAGGGTCTCTTTCACTATGTAGCTTAGTAGTTCATAGTTTCACTACATAGTTCAAGTCTGGCTTTGAACTGATGGTAATCCTCCTGTCTCAGCCTCAAAAATGCTAGGATTATAGGTCTGCATCACCATGCTCAGGTTCAGGAGTGGCTTTACTTGTGTGGCCACATGTCTTGGATTGATTCAAAATGTTGACCCTTTCATGGTCATTTTTAGTTTTAAGAGGATCCAGGAGCCGGGGAGATAACTCAGTAGAATAAGAGCTTGCCTGGCAAGCACAGGGTCCTGAGTTCAATCCCTGGTACCACAAAAAAAAAAAATTAATTAATTTAATAAAAACAAAAACAAACAAAAAGCAGTCAGAAGAGGATCCAGAAGTCACACAGCGCCAAATCCTATGAGTAATGTTGATGAGAACACAGCACCATGGTTTAATTTAACAAGAATTACCATAAATGTTGGATCAACAAGCAGTGCTCATAAAGTACAGTTAATGTTATTAAAATTTTTATTTCAATAAAAGTCACATTGCCATTAATTGTCCTCAGAATACTCCTGATAGCTTTGTGTGTGTGTGTGTCCAGCTCAGCCCACCAGGGGGCAGGGCTGGCTGGCATGTGGTGCTGGGGATTGAACCAGGGTCCCTGTGCTTTGCTAAGCTTGTTTTAAGTAGGTGGTTTAGACCACTGAGCCATCTCACCAGCCCTCCTGATAGCTTTGAACACATTTATGTCATTGTTCTTTAGAATGTAGCTTTGACTGTGCTAAGATTTTTTGCTCCGAATGCCTTCAGAGCAGGTTTGGCTGGCTTGAGTTGTGGGGATCGAACCACAGCAACCTGAGCCTGACGGCTTTGTTGAAGTAGCCACTTAAAGAACTGAGCTAAGGGGCAGGCCCCCTGTGCTAAGTTTTTAAAATTGAAACCCTCACTGAATTTTCTCATCTTTTTCCTGGTATCTTAGCCTCACTGGCCCAAGCAGGAGTCCTCACCTGCTTTGCTGGGCTTCAGATTCTTACAAAGAGCAAAAAAAGAAACAAACAACAACAACAACAACAACAAAAACACTTTGCAAGGAGCGCCATCTATTGGCCAGAGCGGTGGTATGTTTCTTCTCAGTCATCAGAAGTGTCGGAAAAGGCTGGCAGGGAGAATCCCTTCTCTGCAGCTGGAGTTTGGGAGGTTTCTGTCAGAAGTCTCACAACCGTGCATCCCTCTGGGAAGTAATTCAACTTCCTGGGAGTTCTCCAGAACTCCAGAGTATGAGCGGGTGCTGGGCTTTGGCTACGTGTTTATTCCAGCTTCAAAGGCTAAGGGCCGATACTGGAAATAAACAATGTCCAGCAGACTTGCTCTGGAAAGTGCTATTCATTCCACACGGTGGAATGCAGTGCACATAACCATTAAAAGTCCTGCCTTGAAAGAGTCTTTACTCGAACAGTGGAGTCTGAGGCATGGGACTCTGGCTCCATGTTTGCAAGTCTAGGAAAGTTGCACCTGGGAACAGTGTCTGTCTCTAATGGCTCCTGCAGGAAAGTTGGTTGCCTCTTCTGGGGGAGATGTTTTCCCAGGCTGTGGGATGAGGAACAGTAGAGCCTTGGGTCAGAGCTGTTCAGAGCTCCTTAAGGAGCCCCTCCCACCTAGGGTGTGCTCTGGGGCTGCACACAGACAGGCACAGGCTGTTCTGCCAGCATCCCAGCTATCTGTGTTACTGCCAGAAGTTTGCAGGTTCTTGTTTTGTTTTGCTTTTTGAGACACGGTCTCAGTATGTAGTCCAGGCTGTCATTGAACTCCCTGTAGCTCAGGCTGGCCTCGAACTTGCAGCAGTCCTTTTGCCTCAGCCCAGGAGTGCTAGGATCACAGGCGTGCACCACTACAGCCAGCTTTCCTTACACTTCTGAGTTCAACAAGCGTATTTTTTCTTTGTTGATCTCTCTAAAACCCCTTTCACAGGTTCCAAAGCTGAAGAAACCATAGTCAAGGAACAGATGAAGTCTGTGTCTCCTTTTCCACCCTCGACCTTGGCTTCTACTTCTTTATTTTATTTTTATTTATTTAATTTTTTATTTTTAGGGAAGGGTTATAGGGTGTTCGGGGTTTCACTACTAGATCGGACTCCTAATGATCCTCTTGTTTACAGCCTCCCAAGAATTGGGATGACTGGTGCTCTTCACCACACCCCGTCTCAGTGCACCCCCCTGGGGGGTGCCAGCAGGGGAGGTCTGGGGATCAAACCCCCGGTCCCTGCTCCTGCTCCTGCTCCTACTTGCAGGCGCTTTAGTCTGCTGAGCTATTTGGCCGGCCCTGGCTTCTACTTCTTTTCAGGAGAGAGGATTCTGCCCATGAAGCCTTCCTCCCACTCCTCTTGCTCCGGAGGGACAGACATGGGTAGTTGGGGCCTAGGACATCAGTTTCCTCACTCAGGCTTCGGGAATGCTAGGTGAGTGCTTTACCACTGAACTACACCCAGAACTTACCCTTTTTAAAATTTTAGTCATCTTCTCAATCAGTTGTCTAACCTGGCATTGAATTTGCAACCCTCCTGTCTCAGCCACCCAGAGCAGCTGGGATCCCAGAAATGTGCCATCATGCTGGGCCTCAAAGCCCTTTTATCAGTGGAATTGGATTCAGTGTGGCTTATAAACTTTCAGAGTTGTGGTCTTTACCAGGCTTGTTTGGGGTGGAGCAAGTCTAGGGCTTCTATAGCTTAGGACCCAAGCACTTGCAGAACAGAACCATGTGAGAGTTCAGGCTTGTGGGCTTGCCAACCT